AGCATCATATATGAAGAAAGTAAAAAGTCATTAAAAAGAGAGAAAAGAAAGAAAAGACCAAAATAATTGTCAGAAGACACTCTGAAACTTGCTCTTGAACGTAGAGTAGCTAATTAAAGCAAATGGAACAAATGATGAAGTGAAAGATCTGAATAGAAGATTTCAAAGGGTGGCTTGAGAAGACAAAGTAAAGTATTCTAATGAAATGTGCAAAGACCTGGAGTTAGAAAACCAAAAGGCAAGCACACCCTCGGCATTTCTCAAGCTGAAGAAAATATTCAAGCCTCGAGTTGCAATATTGAAGGATTCTACGGGGAAAATATTAAATGACACAGGAAGCATCAAAAGAAGATGGAAAGAATATACAGAGACATTGTACAAAAAAGAATTGGTCGATGTCCAGCCATTTCAGGAGGTAGCATATGATGAAGAACCAACGGTACTGAAGGAAGAAGCCCAAGCTGCACTGAAGGCATTGGCGAAAAACAAGGCTCCAGGAACTGACGGAATACCAATTGAAATGTTTTAACAAACAGATGCAGCACCTCAGGTGCTCATCATCTAAGCTAAGAAATTTGGAAGACAACTACCTGGCCAATCAACTGGATCCATATTTGTACTCATTCCAAAGAAAGGGGATCTAACAGACTGAGGAAATTATTGAACAATACCATTAATATCACACGCAAGTAAAATTTTGCTGAAGATCATTCAAAAGTGGTTGCAGCAGTACATCAACAGGGATCTGCCAGATAGTCAAGCTGAATTCAGAAGAGGATGTGGAACAAGGGATATCATTGCTGAATTCAGAAGGATCTTGGCTGACAGCAGAGAATACCAGAAAGAGGTTTACCAGTGTTTTATTGACTATGCCAACGCATTCGACTGTGTGGATCATAACAAAGTATGGATAACACTGCAAAGAATGGAAATTCCAGAACACTTAATTGTCCTCATGAGGAACCTAGACATAGACCAAGAAGCAGTCGTTTTAACAGAACAAGGGGATACTGTGTGGTTTAAAGTCAAGAAAGGTGTACATCAGGGTTGTATTTTTTCACCATACTTATTCAGTCTGTATACTGAGCAATAGTCTGATAAGCTGGACTATATGAAGAAGAATGTGGCATCAGGATTGGAGGAAGACTCATTAACAACCTGGTATATGCAGATGACACAACCTTGCTTGCTGAAAGTGAAGAGGACTTGAAGCACTTACTGATGAAGGTCAAAGACCACAGTCTTCAGTATGGATTACACCTCAACACAAAGAAAACAAATATCCTCATAATTGGACTAATAAGCAACATCATGATAAGTGGAGAAAAGATTGAAGTTGTCAAGGATTTCATTTCACTTGGATCCACAATCAACACCCATGGAAGCAGCAGTCAAGAAATCAAACAAAGCATTGCATTA